CATCTCGTGCTTGGTTTTAGTTGGCATTATCTATATTGTCAGGAAAGTTCATCAGGATTGCAGTGGTTTTGATAACATCTCTTTCCTTGTGTCTTGCAGACTCTGAATTCAGTGGTCTTGTCGGACCCCCTGGGCCTGCAGGGCCCCCAGGACCTCCAGGGATCCCTGGATCATCTGGCACCTCTCTGGAGGACATCTCTGCTTACCTACAAAGTAAAGCACCTGCTTTTCTCACAGCTGGCAGGGAGATTTTGATTGGAGGTGCTGGAGGGACTGGGCCTGAGATTTAGCTTACTAGGGCCTGTGACTGCTCACTGGGAACAAGGTCACTAAAAATCTCATCAACATCAGCTGGAAAGGGCTGGAAGTTGGGGTTGGAGCCTTTACATTTTTAAGATTCCTAGCCACATGTCCTGGTTTTATCTGTATTCCATATCATGATGATGTCCTTCTCCCTGGTGAAAGAAGCCTTTCCCCCCCATCCCTTTCTGGTTGTGCTTGAAACCACTACACCATGCAATGTCCTTGTTCTCTCAGTGTCAAAATCATTCTTTTCTCTTTATCTCTCAAGGTGTTGGATACTCTTCTATCTCTGGCATGCAGGGCCCACCTGGCCCTCCTGGCCCTCCGGGACCACCAGGCTTCTCAGGAACTGGCCTCCTGTCTTACGCTGACATCACCCACAGTGATGAATTCAGGAGTGAGCTGATCCAGTACCTGAAGAGTAAGGAAATGCTGTCCACCCCCTCTGCACATGTCCATAGCCATGCTTCGTCTTGTGTGGGCTGCTGGCTCTACTGCAGCTGAGACAGCCTCTCCTGAAGAAGTGATGGAGCAACACTTCATTCCTACAGGCTTACTGCTTATCCCAGTACTCACCTTGCAGGCTGTAGAGAGACCACAGTTCACTCTTTAGGCAGATTTCCTTTCAGTCCAACCGCAAGACCAAAGTGCACGTTGTGAGCCTAAAGGAACAAGCACTGTGCAGTTAAAAGTGACCTGTACTGAGCAATGAGTCGTTAGTGAGGTCATTTGCAGACCTTTGCTATTGGAAAAGTGTTCTCTTTGGTGAACATCTTCCTACAGAGCAAAGGATGATGTGAAATTTGGAGGGCAACGATAAGCCAGTTGTGAGCAGCATTGGTCTGGGCTCTCGTATTGGCAAGTCATCCAGGGGAGCCTCTGAACAGCAAGAGAGTGGGCTATTTTGGGGAGACTGGTCACAGAATGCTGTTCAGCAGGGGTGCTGTGCTTGGCCTGAGAGGAGTGCACCCCTCTGCAATCATTGCGCAGGTTTCTGCGGTGAGGCGCCCAATAGTGTGGGAGAGATGGGGGCAGAGGAGGATGTCAGGCTTTAATCTTCCCATCTGCAGAGATTCAGGTTGATATATGTGCCTGTTGCCTGATGCATGGCAGTGGATGAGGGTTACTGCAGTGATTGTCAGGAGAATTTCACCCTCGTCTTCATTCAGATTGTGGCCACGTGACATCTGTGGAGCCTGGGGGCTCTGGTACCCCAGTGTCCCTGATGTCCTCTCATTGCCTCTTGTGTTTTTGCAGGTGATGAAGTTCGAAGCTACATCTCAGGGCCTCCTGGGCCCCCTGGGCCACGGGGACCACCAGGACCCAAAGGAGATAGTGGTTTGGTGGCTGGGTCTATGTCTTCACTGTATCATGATTCACTGGCTTCTGAACGGTCGCATGGAGGATCCATGGGTGCCGAGGGATCCCATGGAGGATCACTTGGCACAGGCAGCTCTTACAGCAGCTCCATGAGCAGCAGCAGGTCATCATACAGTGCCTCCATGGGCAACGATGGCTCCTATGGTGCGTCCCTGGGCAGCGATGGGTCGTTTGATGGGCTGCTGACAGCTGAGGAGTCACACAGGAGATCAGCAGGTCCAGGCAGGTCTTATAGCAACTCCTTTACTGGATCCTTGGATTACAGTGAGCTGGCTCGACGTGTGTCAGAGAACCTACAAAGTGAGTGTGATGCTTTTTTTTTCCTGAGCCTTCCTGTTTTGGCACACAGCTCCCAGCTCCTTACGCATGCTGTTACCTGTTCATTTTCCTTACTCTTCCTGCTCCCTGTAGTCTTCCCTTACACTCTCTTGCCCTACCATCCAGAAACAGCTCCTTTCAAATGATGTCTTTATTTCAGGCCAAGGTATCCTCCAGGACTTCATGTCTTACACTGGACAGGGGCCCCCAGGCCCGCCAGGACCTCCTGGACCTCCTGGAATAAGCAGAGTCTTTGCAGCCTATGGCAATGTCACTGAGGACCTCATGGACTTCTTCAGAAGTAAGTGACATGTTGACCTGATGTTTCTAGCTCATGCATGTGAGGTCTCTCCAGCCTCTTGTGGAGCCAATGATCCTTTCACTTCTGCATGCTGCAGAAGTTCAGTCAAGATTCAAAGTTAGAGGCAGATCCCTCTTCCTCCTTTGCTGGGGATGTGTCGTCTCATCATTAGGAAGGACATCAAGTTTTCCCACTACATGTAGAAAATTCACCCCTATGGCCTGAGCTTGCAACCCCTGGGCTCATTTTAGGCTGGTTGGACTGGTGCACGTACAGCAGATAAAGAGAGCTTTTTCATGGCTCTCAAAGTTCCCTCTAAGCAGGGACCTGCTCCAGCACAGGTGACAGGCAGGATGCTTGGGCTGGGTGGCAGAGCAGCACTGGTGAGATGAGATCCCAACCTGCACCAGGTCTACTGGGAATGAAAATATTTGAAAAAATTGCTCCTGCTCAGTCTAATCCCATTTAACCCAGAGCAATGTCCTTCCAGTGTGACTCACTGCTTCTCTAAGTGAACACACAGTCTTTCAGGTGGTTTATCCTACTCACTCATGCTCTGTTTTCCTCTCCAGCACACGGTACTGTCCGGGGACCACCTGGTGAGAAAGGAGAGCGGGGTTATCCCGGCCCCAAAGGTAAGGCTTGCCATCCTTTCCCTCTCAAGCCTATGATGCCAGTAACTTCTTGCTGCCCAGGAAGCAGCACTGTGACCAAAGGGGTGGTTGGAAGCAGGCTGCTCTTAAGGTCAGAGCCTCCATGTAGTGAAGGCGGTCTTTACGATCTTTACGAGCAGCCTAATTTGTTCTTCCTTACTCTGACCTATCGCAATCACACTTGTGGACAACTTGTTTTTGTCATCCCTTCAGGTGACCCGGGGCCGATGGGCCCACCAGGACGCCATGGGCACAGGGGACCAAAAGGAGAGAAAGGCGAGAAAGGTAACGGAAATCTGCCATCCCTGGGGAGAGCTGGGTCAGGGCTTGGAGTGTTCTCTGGACACCAGCCCATCTGGTGGGAAATGCTGACGCAGCTTGGATTGGTTTTCTTGGTTGTTTTATGGAGTAGTGTTTTTTGTCTTGTTTTTTCTCTACATGAATTCTTCAAATAGTCCTCCTTCTGACTTTCTCCTTGTCCCCAGGTGAACAAGTGTATGGTGGCAGAAGGAAAAGAAGAAGTGTTGGGGTTTAAGGGAAGAGCAAAGTCAGTTCTGCACCGGGCACCATCCCTAGCAGCTCAAGAGATTTCGTGTGGATCTTCACTGTCTTACTGCTAAAATGTCCTTGCCAGTCAGCTAAGTACTTAGACTTGATAGTTCAGTGTTTCTGCTGAGATCTGAATGGCTCTTTTACATATGTCCAGTGTTGCTCTAGTGTGGATGTTTCCTCCTGTTGCAAATGTATGGCCCCTGAGCCTATCCAGGTTTGTGTTTTTGTGCTGACAAGGGCTTCCTACCCCTCTCAGTCCAGTCTTGTATTATTTTGAGCTACATAAAAACTTGTCTTAAACAACAAGCCACATATCCAGGAAAAAAAAAAAAGTCCTCCCCATACCAAACAAGTGGTAAGAGTCAGACCAAAAGCCCTGCAGGAGGTGCCAGGACTGAGCCTCATGAGCACAGCACTGTGCGGGCTGTTGTGGGGCAGGGGCTGCTGCATCAGGTGGTGATGGCACTGAGCAGGGTCCTGGCTGGGGCTGGGAGTGCTTTCAGATCTCTGGGGTCAGCACTTGTTGTCATCCCACCTGCGACCCATTATGGAATGTGGTTCCCTTCCGCCTCGATGTTTCAGTGCTCTGGCACTCAGGATGTATTAACCTCGCTCCCCAGCCTGAATCCTTTGTCCAAATCCTGTTACAGAGCAGGCTGTGGCAGCACGCAGGGCACAGCACATGCAAATACTCTGCAGGGAGCATGGGCCTCTTGTGCTGTGCAGCACGGCCTGCTGTGACATGCACAGGGACAGATCTGAAGCACTTTTCTTCAATGTAATTTGTTGACTTTTAAAAACCATTTTTGCATTCTATTTTTGGAACATTAGGAAAAACTTGTTAATGTAAACATCCCAATTAAAGTGTGTTTTGTACTCCAAGTTTGCCTATCGGTATTACAGCATAGCCTGTACCAGAGTCACTGGGCAGACACGCTGTGGGGTTTGAGTGGCCAATGGTGGCAGTTTTCCTTCATTCTCATCACCAGTACGTGACCAAGCAGCCAGTGCATTGTGTCTCGGGATCTCTGGTTTCCAGTCTTCAGGAGAGTTTGGAACAAGGTTCTATACAAACCTGGTTGGTTTTCAGAGTATACAGCAGCTTGCAGTGTTGGCTCATTAAACTTGTATCCTTCTGGGTGAATCATTCTCTTCACCTGGCTCTGCTGAGACATTTCCTTTCAAATCTATCTTGAAAACAATCACAAAAAAACCCTCAAAGTCATGTTGAAGTGCAGCAGCTGTGCTCCTGTGTCTCAAGCAATGCCAGAGCTACTCAGCATGCTGTGAAGTGCAAGCCAGGCTGTCAGGCAAAATGAGGTTTGTGTTCAATCTCTGCTCCCACAGTGGGCTATTCCAGCCAGGGCCCATGCAACCACACAAGGTTAAAGTATTTTTTTTTATCCTCACTTGATAAAAATTACAAATTGTTCTGCTCACTCACAGATCACTTAAGTTCATATGAGTTTTCTGAAAAGAAAACAGAGACCCTCTCAGCAAACTGTGATTTTTATTGTATTTACAGCAGAATTATTACAATATTCTACAGAAAGCCATGAAATCAAGTTAATTTTAAAAACAACAACAAAAAAAAAAAACAACCAAAACTGTTGTATGGCTGCTACTGCAAGTTCATTTCCATGAGCTAAACATACAGAGATCCGTTGCCAATTTTTCATCTGGCTCATGATTTTTGGTTGCTTCCTGTAAGGCAAAATGACTTGGTTTGTTAACACAAAACATTCAACAAACTTCTGGGACAACATGAGCTTGGAGATGCCCTGGCTTTTGAGGTTTTATTACTCAACAGCACTCTGCTTGTCTTTCTTAGAGACTGAGGGTATGACAGAGCAGCAGCTCTCTTGTTCTGGTTTCTTTCTATTCTTTCCACCATTCTCAGCCAAGCTGATAATCCATAAGAACGAGGCTCTACCTAGCATGGAAACTGGAAGAGATTTTGCAAAATGAGAGCATGTTAGAACTCAGTCCCTCCTTTCTGCTTTCAGCACAGTGGAAATGGGTGGTTTCAAGCACATTTTACTTAAGAGCTCTTCTCCTTTCTCCAGAGTCCCCAGCTGCCCTTTCAGTACTGCAGTAGTTATAGAAAGTTGCAGAAAGGATGAGGACTGAGGTGAGAGGAAGGGGACAGAGAACTAAAAGACAATGCAAACAATGTCCCTTCCTAGCTGGACAAATGCTACGAAGTTTCTTTTTCCTTCCTTTTACCTGTTCTCATCTTTTGTAAGACTAGAAATATGCCAGGGCATCCTCAGCTTGTCTGGGAATCAAGGTTACTTCTCCCCAGGCATCATTGTGAATCTGATGTGAAGCTGCTATTATAAGTCAGGGAACAGGAACATGTGTGGGCACATCAACACAAGGAAGTTTTTCTGAGATCCAGAAATACAGATGATGAAGTAAAATGACAGGATTGCAAATGCTAAGGACTGCATTGGCAGAGAATTAGAGGATGCCACAAACAGCTGAACTCCAGTAAATGAGGAAACTGTACAACTCTGTGTTGGGAAGAGTCAGGTTGAGTCCCAGGGAATGCTTCCTCACCCGAGGGTCATCAGGCACTGGAACAGGCTCCTAGGGCCCAAAGCTGTCAGAGTTTGGCCAGTACTCTCAGAAACATGGCTTGATTTTGGGGCATAGCCACCGACTCCTGTATTTACAAGGTCTCATCCCAAGAAAGCTAATGTAACGATGAAGAAGAAAAATTGGGAAGTCTGGATCCATCAGAGGCCACGAGCTTGCCAAGAAGATGGCCAATTTTTTTTTTAATCAATTGTAAATGCAAGAGGGCAATCGCTGCACTCCACTGTACTGCATCACTTTATTGCCATTCTTCATTTTCCCAGCTGTGATGTACAAGAGCTGCTCTCAGAGTAATGCCTCCTATTTTATTATGTTATGTTGCTTCATGATGTCAGAGGTGGACGTTGGTGGGATGGCAGTAGAAGTTAAATCTTCCCACCATTATTCCTTTACAGTTTATTGCCATGTGACAGATGGCAGCAGAGGGGCAGTCTGAGAGAATGGGTCTGACGTGGAAGTGTGGGTGAAGCAAAAGTGTGTCATTAAAGGGATTATGTGACATGATAGTAGAGAGATTGGATTTTATATGTCAGAAGAGCTCTGCCAGGCCTATGTGAGACAAAATTCACTTGAACTGGATCTTCTGACATCGACATAATAGCATACACCTCCCCTTTTACACTGCACAATACTGGCAACAACAACTTTATCAATCTAAGCGTGCAAGTACCTACGTTAGCTCCTGTTATCCCAGAACAAACGTATTTTCACACCAGACATCAAATCCTAGCAATCACTACAGTCAGTTCCTCCCTCCAACACAGAACTGTTATTTGTTTGGACAATTTACACTTGAGATCAGATTGCATGAGCTTGTGTGAAAAGGATCTTCGAATTAAAGATTTAGACAGAGGTAACTGCTACACCGTTAACAAGTTATCACTGAGACTGCCACCAATGGAAGAAGATTAACTTTTCTCTGAGAATTTAATGATGATAAAGGCAGAGAGAACCCAGAATGGGAGATGTACTTGCCACGTCTACTCCCCAGATAAGTCACTGAGCCTACTGCATACAGAACTGCAAACTAATTCTGAAATACAGAGATGAAGATTACCTGCTGATTTTAGTAAGTCAATTTATAACAGCGGAGCTTAGAAAGTGAAGGCCAGAGACATATTTCACCCTACAGAAGAAACAACTTAAAGAACAGTGTATTTTGCAATAGATAACGTTCTAGAGATATGGTATGTGAATTTACAACAGTACACAATACACTTTTATATAATGCCAGAAATTAGGGCTAGCTAGTAAAGTAATTACTCTACCAAAAAGTTACAGATTTTAAATTAAAACATGCATTTTCCAACTGTTGATACTGTGCTGTAACTGTTAAGTGTCTTCATTGAGAAAGCATAGCTTCAGCATCCAAAGATTTCAGCATCCAAGTTTTCTACTGCATCTGATTCAAATCCTATGTTAACTTAAGAGTTCATTCACATGCATCAGTGCTGTTCCCATGAAATGAACACCATATCACGTTCACCAGCCTCACATTTAATGCGAGCTAGCAAAACAAATGTTACAGTTGATGCCCAAAGAGAATAGGAAGTTAGGCCTCAAATAACAAAGGAAATACTATTTTACAATTTCACACGGCATACCAAAGTACAGCTTACAGTACTGTCTCGATATGACTGCCACCAAAAGGACTGCAGGAAAAGTGACCTAACGCACTTTTATTTCCCTGCCAGCTATGTCAGAAACATTTCAGACTTTTTCCACTGCAGATCAGTCAGGTAAATAACTTATTGTACTGCTATAAACTTGAAAAATAAAAACCATCTATGTTAATACGTGGCAACACAAAAGAAAAAAAAAAAACAGCTTCATTAAGAATTTTGTCTATATATTTAACTTAAATCTTTCTATAAAATAAAATGACTAAAGCAACAACAACAAAACAACCAACTCTAACACTTGTAATCAAATCAAGACTCTGCCATGGTTACCTGTAAAAATGACCACCCACCTCCATGCTCTGATGGAGTTTAAACAAACAGGCTTTGGTGAGAACAGAAAGATGGCTCTACCCTTTGCAGGTACAGTTAGAGAGACCACGTGCATTTTGCACATTGCTTTCTAAAAAATACATTCTACAGGTTTTCCATTTGTAGAAATAACCACCTGTAATAGGTTGGAAATAAGGAAATTAATAAACCAGGTATTTTAAAGTTAGCATTTCTTTCACCTTTACATATTTTAGTGCAAAATATTTTAGGGTGAGGATTTACAACAAAAATGGCAGTAGCAGCAAGAAATCTTCTGTTTTGTACAGTAACAGCAATGCAATGGAGTATTTGTTTTGTTTTCAAATGACAAAACACCACCCTGTCACCAGGATCAGCATACCAAAGTGTTTCAGGCACTGTCTTTATTAAACTAGCACCCCATTTCAGTATGGAACTAATGGACAAAACGCGCAATGGAGATCAGCTCAGTTGAATTTATGCCAGAGGTTTCTCTTCTCAAAAAGTTGCAAAGGCTTTTACTGTTACCAATCGTGTGAGCACAAGGGTTCATTTTTTTTGGTTATTGGCATGCTCTGAGTAATCTGCTTCAGCCCTTGCTCTGAGAACACTGCTCAAGACTGTAACATTTTAAGCCCCTCAGGGCAGTTTCAGTTATGGAATTCTCTTGTGTAGAAATGAGGCTTAAAAACACAGTAGCAGAACTAATATTACACCGTTTAAAAATTCACATGAATGTTTTTTTGTGATAAGAAATATTACAATTCTCATTCTAGACTCACTTTCTTAAAGTCAAAACCATAGATAACTTAAACTTTGAGACCGAGATTAAAAAAAACCACACGTATTCTTGAAACATGTGAAGGACGTCACATTACCGTATTGCAGCAACTCCTTTCCTCCTTTCTTCCATTCAAAGAAGTAAAAAAGAAAAAAAAAAAGTGATCATGACACCGATTGTCTCCACTGAAAACAAAAAGTGCCAGGTCCTTGAATGCACACTGCAGATAGAGCACGACAGCTGACGAGGAGGAAGAAACGAAGAATTCCAAATATGAAAAACCTGCAGCAGTTCCCAGAGTTACGACCCAGTGGAGTGAAGGCTGGGGATTGGGTAGAATTTGGAAATGCGGCTTTGTGTGGAAGGGTTAAGGCATTCAGATTCTCCAGTCATTTTAAAGAAAACTTCCTGTTCCTGCAGTTTTCTGGCAAATTCTTCTTCCAGCGTCTAAGAACAAAATCAGATTGTCAGAGGAATAAAAGCAAAACACAACAAGCCTGTTACCCTGCTGCCAGTCTGATGCGATGTAACTGCACGCATCACTGCAAAAAGTCACCTACAATTACCAGCCTGCAAAACTGCCGAGTCCCAGCAACACAAGAACCAGCACCATCTGCCTGTTGGTTATTCTTTAAGTTGTGTGAAACTCTGGTGCTTTCCAGCTTGAAATCTAAAAAAAGAAAACAACTACCACAACCACTCTCTTTGTTACTGAGCTGTCAGGTGCTGTAATATCCTAATGGCTGCTGAAATACATTCCTAAACCAGATTTGCTTCAGCTGTTTTATATAGAAATACATACTCACGCCCTGCAAAAGGAACACAGTAAGAGCCTGATAACATGCACGCCTTCTTTATTGCACGCATTTCAACTTCTTTCATTACACAGTGAACTGTGGCAGTTTTGTACAGTAGCTTGGTTTTCCTCTGCGTTATCTCTTGTAAGGTCTGCATTTGCATGATTTAACACACTTCCTTCTTTTCTGACTCATGACTGCTCCAATTTACCTTTTTTCTTGGTCTCAATTTCTCTCTCCATTCCTTCAGTTCTTGGCTGTGCTCTTCATCTAGTTCTTTGAGCTTCTGAGTCTCGTGTTCAACCAGTAGATGGCATTTTTCATTCTTAAAACAAGACAAAGATAATCCGTATAAAACTAATTCAGATTAGACAACTCAGTGTTGGTACAGTGACATATGTTGTCCTAATTCTTTTTAATTAGCTTATTCTGTGTAAACACTGACGTACATAATTACAAGATAGAAGTATGGTACGAGGTTGCATTATCAAAAGCTGATCTTTCCATCAGAACCAATTGAGATAAGAAATACCTGTAAATCCACACTGTTGACTGCCACTAAGGGAGCAGCTGACAGCGTTAGTCAGCACTGAGTTTACAGCCTAATAGAGCTATTTGAGGTCATGCAGCATTTCTGCTTTGCTTCCTAAAGAAAGTTTCTATAATTTATGAAAATTGATGACATTAGAAAGGAAGCAGGATTTGCAGCATAGGAGCTGAGAATTTCAACTGTCAGTGCTACAGAGCTGAGCCTAACAGATAGGGTCTAGAGAGAGAGATGTGCTTGCACTGAAACAGCCCTGTAACAAGAAGGGTAATTAAATCACACACCAGCTTCACATTCTTTAAGTTGTACATGCATTTGTTTAACTTACAGAGAAAGCTTTGAAGCATGGCAAGTTAATAGTTAAGTATTTGGCTGCATCAAATCTTTGTATTAAGAGCAGCTGGTAATTGCAGCCCCTAAAACCTTCTTGTTTCTGTAGCTGCAGGCCCAACTGGGTCTGAAGCAGAGTATGAAATAAACAAGCAAACAAAAAAAAAAACCAAATGAAAAGCACTTGGCTACTCCTGAGTGCAGCTAAGGGCCAACTTCTCTTGGTTGGAGGCTCAGAGCAGCCCTAATCTTCTCAATTTTACTTGAGCAGATTCTCATACTGGGTTCCCACAGTATTTGGGGTTTTACTGAGGTGTATTACTAGCACAGCCAGGGGCTACATTCGCAGGAGGCAAGAAAAGCGATCAGTAAATCTAACTTCCTTGGCCACTGAAAGATTTCTCTATGCAAAGGTTATCAGCAGGTGATCAATGAATACTTCAAAACTGCCTCGAGTTCTTAAAGCAGGGAAAAAGCAGATTTCATGGAAAAGAAGGCCTTAGCCCTAGTATACAGTATTCTACAAAAAACATACCAAAACTGACATCAAATTCCTTGCTGTAAGGAGAGCATTCCTTCTAAATACCTTCCACAAGCTCAAGAATGAATGGCAGCCTGCACTTTGTAAAGACCATCTAATTCCATGTACTACTTTGAAAGTCTTGTGGGCAGTGCCTGGTGCTGCCTACTGCTGTTGTGATTATTGACATTTGAGCAAGAGCAGGTTAAAAGGAGATGCTGCCTACACAGAACAGCACTAGGAACTTGGAAAATACTCTGAGAGTGATCATTTGCTTACAGCTCATGATCTTCTTGGGCATAAAATGATTTCTTACTAATGCAAGCTTCTGAGTCTGGTTCGACAGTACACTGCAGGCCTTTGAAAGCAAAACTGAAAGAATTCACGTGAGGAAAAATGCAGGAAAAAATGTTTCAGGTTAGTAACAGACCCAGGCAAAGCAGAATCTTCCCACTGGATGTCTATCTACTATCATCTATTTTTAACCTGTAGCTGATGCAGTTCTCTGATGTTTGCTTCACACTGCAACTGAAGGTCCCGCATTTGATTTTCGTGTTTCTGATGCTGCGCCAGTCTCTCATTTTTCTGTCTCTTTTCTTCTTGGATCGCAAACTACAATTGAAAAAACAATTTAGATTATGCTCCTGGAAACAACAATTGATCTGAACAGAACAACTGTACGTGACAGGACGAACACATATGGCATACAGTATTACTGAATTGAATGATTCTAAGATATTTACGTATTTTTAATGGCCCTGAGGTGGAGGACTTGGTTGAACTTCCTGATGATCATGTCTGCCCCCTTCTCCAGCTCGACTGGTCCTTCTGAGCGGCAGCAGACACCCATACATCAACCTGGTCCTGTACCACCTGCAGACTTGCAGAGTGCGTTCTGTCCCATGATCACATTTGTGTTTGTGTCACATCAAGCATTTACACCATTAAGATCATCCTTGTTAATTACCTGCTTAATTTTTTCACGATCTTGATCTGGAGAGGCTAATGAATTAATTCTTAAACTTTTCTTAAACATTGCCATTCGAGTCTTTGCTTCACTTCGCTGGATCTTAGGCAGTCTGGCTCTTTCCTGAGTTTGCTTGTTCTTTAGCTCTTCAATAAGGCGCTGGTTGTATCTCTGCATTTGTTCTGTTTCCTGAAACATTAACCACATGGAAATGTTGCAGAATACCTCTGACATTAGAGCACCTCTTCTCATCAATGCCCATGTTGTCTGAGAAATGATATCAAAGGGGCGGATGAGGTCTTCCTTTAATTCCAGAGAGCTCTGGATCATGCTCAACCCATTCGAATTCTTTCATGTTCGAAGATGGGCAGATACACTTTACACATGGCTGCTCAACTCCTGAATTATATTTTTTTAAGTGTCTGTGCTATTCAAGAGAAGAAGCTTCAGTACAACTGAACTTCCACTACTGCAATGAAAGCAGCAGCCATTATGGGGATGAAAATACAAATGCCCAAATATATAGAGGTCAGTTTGCAGTGGAGGCCAATTCTGATCCAGTGACCAAGGAATCCTATCATCTTTCTCCGGACTGGGTTTAGATTTACAAGAACTGCATTGCTTTATTTAGTATATTCTATTAAAAAAAAGTTAAATGCCTTGCAGTAAATGTGTTGCCTTCTGAGCTTTTACAGGATTTAGCTGAGACAGATTTCTTGGCCCAAAGCTCAGTTTCTCATTCTGCTCAGTGAATTCCAAGATGATTTACTAATGACTAGATTTATTTAACCACAAGCCAAAACCCTATTAATTTTTATGCACAAGCACTATTTGTTATTTTGAATAGCAAAAGGATGGTGGTGGTTTTGTTCTTATTTTGTGGATTTCTTTTTTAAAGGAATCAAAAGGTAAAAAATAGGACTCATACTTCAACATACTGCAGTTAGTGAAGCAAGATCAAGGTTTATCTTATTCCAACAGAAGTACAGAATCTATGCAGCATGGAAATACCCACTGGGTACTGCCTGAGCAAGCAGCTACCACAGAGAATGATTGAAAAAAACAAAAAAAAGGAGATAATAATACACAAAAGAAAGTGTCAAAGTCAACACTGACCTTTTCATGCCTCTTAAGCAGCTGATGCCTCTGCATGAAGTACTGATCCTTGAGTTGCTGTTTGAGGAGCTGGTGTTTCTCTTGCAGATGTCGCTCCTCCAGCTCCCAGATGGCAGCTTCGCGAGCTGCAGAGCGAAGGCAGGTTTAGAAAGTACAACACAATCCTTTCTCTCCCACCTGCAAGTGTATGTTTACAAGTGGCCTACAATCACACTTCAAGAGCAGTGCTATTCTATAAGCAGATTATTCCATATCGTCATTTTATTGAAATGCAGCACAAATAACTGCCTTTAAGGAAAGACTGACCTCTCATGAGCTGCTGTTTGCTGTTGAGGCAATCTCGTTCAATAGTGGCTAGTTCTGTCTTTTGCTGCTGAATAATTTTCTTCAGAGATGCATCCAGTTCTTGTTGCTGCTTCTGTACAAACTCCTGCTCCTGGTGAAAAGCAGTGAATTAAATATTGTACTTCCAGCCACATGGCGTTTGAATGAAATTCCCAGAAAGAGCTATACACAAAAACAAGCTACAGAGATTTCAGCTAACATGCCTCAGCTACAGAATTGTCTGTTGAATTTTCTACACACAGAGTAGGCAAGAGAATGCTTAATATTTAATAATACTTTCAGAAATAAGACCAAGGACAACAGACTACCCAATAACCTACAATTCATTCCATGTCCCTCTAAAAAAGCTGCAGTTTAAAGGTAGCAAAGACAAGCATGCTGAATATATAGTTGATCTCAGTTGTATCAATGGTTATGGATTTGTGGATGTAAGAAAACAGAAGCATTTATGATTATTTTTTTTGCTTTGGATTATTAGGTAAAGCCAAGTTATTTCTGTGTTAGTTTCAGAACTGTGTCTCGATCTCAAGTGGTTTATCACTTCATGAATGCAAAGATACTGACTGAGGTTTGGGGTCCTGTGACACTGCAAAGAAGACACCTAATGACTTTAGTGGGAATTGCACTCTGCAGCACTGCTGAGCTCAGCATGCCAGAGCTGACCTGGCTGCTCACAAATTATTTGCCATCTGTGTGATGCAGTCTGTGTACCTCCTGCACCTTCCCATTCTCCAAGGTACCTCGGGCACTGCATCACATCATGAAGAACAGAGAATAGTAAGAATCCCCCTCCACACTGCAAGTACATACCACTGAATTCCTTCTTTGCAACTATCAAGAAAACCCAACCTCAGACCACATCTGCCAGCACACAGGCATGCACACAACACACACTTCAAAAAAATTAATGCAGATGTTTCTACCAGACATAAAGGTTAAAAAAACCCAAGATGGCAGTGTCCTTCTAAGCCAAAACAGGCAGCTGAGGCATTTGCTGTTACACACAACTAAGTTAAAATGGCCAGCTGGATGGGAGATGGAGTGAGGCTGAAAATATTGCTGGTGATCACTGCAAGGGCCTCCTGAGTGAGTGATCTGTTCTCTTTTTAGTGAGCCTTGCTAAGAGCCATCAGCAACATGCAGAACTACATGTTAATTAAAAATACTTTATATTATGACCAGGAGAATCTTGGTCTTCATTTTCACGCAACGTTACCGAGAAATGGACAAATCCTTTGTGTCCTTTGTGTCTCCCAGTGGGCAGCAGAGTTAAGCTTACACAGACAACTGAAAACCAGAGGTGGAATAAGCTGCTGCAAGTTCAGAAAGGAGCAGAACTGAGGGTACAAAACAGACTGGGAGGCCAGGTTTGTGAATGACATCAGGCATTCCTAATCAAATGTATGAACTGATGGAAAAATGCTGTTGTGTTTCCCTTTCTAGTTGGAAAAGAAGAAAACTAAAAGTTGATTTTGAGCAAGCAGGTACAGAATTAATACTATGTTTGATCTCCTAGTAATTTTTTTTTTATCTGGAAAGTGCAGAAGGACAGCTGGTCTAGTGTAGTCACAGTCAAAAAAGTTATGCTGGGGATTTACTGTCAATCATTTCAATATCATTGCTTCCTTGTCCACTTAGAACACATAAAAAAAACCCCAAAACACACAAAAAAATCCTTGCTAATTGTTAGCACTGAGGTAAACCTGGCAATCTCAGAAAGCAGTCATGCAACAAAGATCATAGACCTTACTCAGGAACATGCTGGATGGTGCAAAAGGCTGTCTGCCTCTTTAAAATCACCACTTGGTTTTGCCCAGAATCTTAAACCAGAATCTTTACAATCCAAAATTTCACTGCACACACAGCATTCAAGTCACACAAGTGTTTCTCACATGTGCTGAACAAATAAACACCTGAGAACATTGCTGTATCACCTTTGTGAGAAACTTCAGCGCTCTGCCCAGAGTTAGCAATGCTGTCCTTTTATTAATTATAGTGCAGCTATACACATTTGTGCTAACTTGTTTGGAGGCAGCAGTGAAACTGATCAGCACATATGAGCAGAAAGAGAAGAGAAAACATCTGGAACATTAGGGAAATAAAACTTCTTGGTTTGTATTTTGGGACTTACGTCCTGCATTTGTGCGTTGAAAAGCGTACATGAAGACAACTGAAAAGACTGAATCATAACCTGAGCAACGCCCTGTGGGACACAATGTACTTCCTATGTCAGAATACAATGAAATATAGTGCTGGTCTTAAAAAAAAAAGAAGAAATGAGTCTGTGCTGTGTGTCAATAATATGCATTTAAAACTTCAAGGCTAGTGGAACAAAGTAAACACAGAGAATTTTTGGATATTTAAATGGAACATTTGCACTTTGTCTACTACTGCGCCATTCCAAGTAAGGATCTTCCACCTTTAAAACTTTCTTCAACAAACTGAAGCCAGCAAAGGAAACAAAGTCATCACAAACGCTGCAAACATTCAGTTCCTGAATTGTTTCCTTAACAACATCAGGACACAAATCCTCAGCATGGAGAGCGCTGCAACTCAATCAAATTCTATGCCGGGAAATCCCCTCCTGAACAGGACATGCAATCAAACAACGTTGCTGTTATTTTCTGCCAAGTCACTCACATGAACATTTAATCTAAGTTACTTGATCCAAAACTGCTCCGCTGTGGGCAAATTTGTTCTTATACAGGCTGTGGCCACCACAAAAATGTTCTGAAGCCCCTTTCCAGACAGCTCATGTAAAGGCAGTAGGTTTGAAGGCATGAAGCTATGATGTCTTCTAGTTTCCACTCACCTGTGTTTAGGCATTATATAAATTCATTTGACCTAATCTTTTAGATGAAGGGGGCTTTTCACAAGGGCATGTAGTGATAGGACAAAAAAAAGAAAGGGAGATTTAGATCAAATACTCTTCCCCACATGGAGGTGAGGTGCTGGCACTGCTGCCCAGAGCTCTGGGTGCCCCATCACTGGAGCTGCCCAAAGCTGGGTTGGATGGGGCCCTGGGCCCTGATCTGGAGGGGGCACCCAGCTCATGGCAGGGGGTGGAACTGAACAGCCCTTAGGATGCCCTCCAGCCCAACCATTCTGTGATCTGTGATAATCTATTGTGCTGCTAGGAATGATGCTTACAGATCCTAGGTATTTTCCACCTCTGTGATTATATTACTCAAAAAATAACTTCTGAGTCAAACTTTTATAATTTGATGGACCTGTGGGGGTTCTCACAGCACATAAAAGCACTGCAATGGACCCTGTCATAGTAAAACAGTTTTTTGGCACACCATACATAATGTTACGCTTAACAGCACAAACCTGGAAGTCACTGCTCCTGCATTTCTACACACTATATAGGAAGTGATAGGGAAGTATTTGAAGAAAGAGCATACACAGAGTTAGTCTGAGTTAAGTTTCATATTCACTCAACAACAAGAAGTGAAATTATGGGGCGGTGCAAATACTGCTGCCTTTTGTATTTTAGTAGCTTGAAGCTGCCGCTGTTACCTGAGCATGCTGGCTTTGTGCAAGCTCCTCTTTCTTGCGTTTCAGGAGCTCTTTTCTCAGCTCTTTTGGTGCTTTCTCCACTTCACAAAAAACCTACAGTGTATATAAGCATGCAGAAGGTGGCGAAAAGAACCATTTCTCCACAGCAAGCATTACTGTGAACATAGGAGGCGCAGGTCAAGCACTACAGGTATACCGGAAAGCGTGCAATACTTCAGTGGCAGGGATGTCAGATTAGTGAAAAGAGCTTAGCGAAAAGAGATGGAGCAATGCATGCTTTAGGTATGCCAGTGCAGGAAGGAGGTGTATACCAGCTGCTTTTTGCATGCACATGCTGTCCAGTGCTCTCAGAAATGGCAGTTGCTTGCTTTTTCATGCAGCAGCTAGAATAGGCAGTAGTTGAGAAAACCACCACTTGCAAAAGCGGTATTTTCTTGAAGCACTACTGTAAAAGGGACTACAGAGTACCTTTACTTCACAGTAAAACTGTGAAAAATTGTTGGAAGCTTAAGTAAGTCCTCAGAAAAGAGAGCCATTTCTGACACTATCCAGAACATGAATTTATAAGATGCTCTTGTTCAGTGTCACAACCATAAACAACATCTATGCAGGGCAAGTCTGAATAATGACCACAGAAAAAGTATTAAGTGGTTGTAAGTGTTCAGAAGAATTTAAAAGCAAAAAACACCAATGACAATTGTTTTTAAGAAAGCTTTCAGTACACATGCTGGAATGAAGCGTTTTGTTTCAGTTTGAGGCAAATTAGACAGGAATAGAAGAAATATAACCTGGTTAATCAGGCTAATATGCACATGAATCTTTGCTGATGGTCGTTTAGTTTTGGGTTTTGTTTGTTTTTGCTCTTTTTTTTTTTTTTTTTTTTTTGTTTTTTTTTTAATTGTAAGAATTCAAGAAACGAACACTGCACACACCTCAATATAGCACGGGTAGCTTAGAGCACCAGCTGCATTTTCCTTCAAACTCTAGTTCGCCCTCTTAAGCTGTAAATACAAAGCCCTCCAGCCAGAAACAAATGTCTGTTTGTTTAATACTGGAAGCATCATCAGAAAACAGAGTCCAAATCACCACATGCTATTCCTGTTTCCGTGAAAGAATTGCTTTCAGCTCAGAGCAATATATAACGTTCTTCCCGCTTTCCCATGGAGGACCCAATCACCAGTAAAAAGAAAGAGACTCAAAAATGCAAGAGGTTCCACAAAAAGAAGAAAATGGTTATTAACAAGCATACAGGTCACACTGAGCACAACATTTTTTTTCTATACACTTTTGTACTACAGGATCATGCTATGCAAAAGCATGGGCAGTACAGGTTTTCTTTTTTTTGTTTTGTTTTTTTAAAGAAATCTCTGGAAGTCTAAGAGCAAACACTGGAGACATTTATATACAAACAAACACAACAAAACTGATCTGAGAATGAAATAAAGCAACTTCTATGATGCTAAATACACAGAGGTACACCACTCCTCTTATTCGAATGCAAATAAATTAACAGCATAAGGTGTCAGTGTCAAACGTTACTCACTTTGCCTTAGCTCTGCAACACACATGAAATTAACTGGAGAAGATTTTAGGCCACCAGGTTTTTTTGCCTTAGCTCTCTTTCTGGAGTTAAAGAACAAAACCAACATAACTGACACTTCAGATAACAGCGCACAGGGTCTTGGGAGACCTAACCTCAACCATTGGCTGTGGCCGTACTCTTTGTTTTCTGTACAACCATCTTTGCCTCTTACCTCCTTCTTCTTGTTCTTCAGCATGTTCTGGAATTTGGACAGCTCTTTCTCCTGCTCTGCTTTGATGCGCTTCGCTTCATCCCGTAGCCGATTTGTGTGCTCCTGCTCCAAGCGCTCGATTGTCTGCTTCTGCTGCTTCTCCAGATTCTCTATTTCTTGGTCGTACTGCCGCTTCTTACTCTGTTAAGACAACAAAAAAGTAAAGCTGGCAGGCACTCTGTTCTAGCATACAAGCTAAGCATCCCATAATGCAAAACCACGTCCGTTATTAGCAAGAATGACAACTGAACTATAGCCATCGTAGAAGGAAACGCCTGTATTGTTGCTACTAGCATTCTGCCCACTCTGTCAACATGACGCGATGTAAGGGCACCAAAATTCAAATACTCACTGTCATTTCCTGTTCAAAACGCCTGTACATCTGTTCCCGCTGTTGCAGGAGCTTGTTGCTGAGCTGCTGTTGGGCTCTCTGCTCCTCTTTCTGAAGAAGCCTCAGCTCTCTCAGCTCCTGACGCCTAAAAATACAAAGAACTAGTTCATATTGATGGGAAAACAAAAGAAAATTACAAAAGAAAAAGCACTGACAACTTAGATCCAGTAAAGCTAGTTTTGAATCCTCTCATTGACAAACAGTTTGCATTTATTTCTATGGGCGGAAAAAAAACAACTTAGTCCCCAAATATGAAAAAAACCAACTGTTACGTTCAAGACACTGTAATCTCTTGCAAAATTCACTTTTGGAAAAGCTTACCGCAGAAATCTCATTTCTTCACTTTTGGAGTCGTTTTCAGTAACTATTTTTGATGTTGTTACGCTCACTTCCACTCCATCAACGACAAACTTCCGAGTTTTCTTTAAAGTTTTCTTCTGTCTCCTGGTTTCCTGAATAAAGCACATAGAGAAATTGGTCTGCATTCAATCCGGTTCACTCTTCCTTTTTTTTTTTTTTTTTTTTTTTTTTTAGTTCTCTTAATATTAAATCACTTCAGTGTTTGTATGGAGGCACACTGCAGAGCAATCAGGCCATCTTGCTTATCAAGTACCTGATTTACTTACTGAAACCTGAGAAATTGTCATGAAACGAAACTTTCTTTACTCAAAGGAAACCTGATTATTGGTCATCCAAATTGCCATTCAGAGGAAAAAACAACTGATAAGCCCTGACCAAAACAGACTCAGTTTGATTTTCAAGAGCTGAAGAGTCACAATTACTGCCTCCTTTTGCCTGTAATTTTCCCCAGTCAGCAGTAAAGGAATCTAATTGGGAAAAACAACACTGAAACCCAGCGATGTTTAACTCATCTGCTCACCTGTGCTTTGGAAATAAATGCAACTGGCAACACGCTGTTATTTTGGTTGGTTATGATTTTAATTCTTACATGACAGCAGCCAGTACTTATGTGATGAGGACCTTGCTGACAGGATGGGAGTAATTCCCACTTGTCAGAGCTGCTGTTGTTTCATTATGAGACAAAATAGACCCCAGCTGAAACTTTGCCTCCATTGTGTTAAGGCAAATGCATTCAAGTTGTGATAGCACAGCTATTTCAAGTTGTCCTTTGTTTGTTTGTTCTTGTTTTATTTCAAACTTCTGATTACACAGTTACTATCTTAGTATGGCTATAATCAGATCAGTATAAAGATATAAGTCAAGTTCATATTCTGAAATGTGCTTTATCCAAATAAACTCATTCATCCCAGCATTACTGCTGCAATACAGTACAAAGGAGTGGTGTCTGGCATTCACAAACTCGAGATGGTCTGCCTTAGATCTTTTAAATCTAAACAGAAACATAAGATGGAAGTGACAGGAATTCAACATGAGATTCAGACACTGAAAGAGATTTGTCCTGGTAAAGCAGGGATTCTGAGGAGGGTAAGGCACCAAAACAGTATTCTTGAATATTAGCTCTGAACTACTACTGTGCACAAATCTTCGTGTTTAATAGTTAAACTTTGTTACCTGTACTTTAATTTATTAGAATACAACCATGAAACAAATTAAGGAGATAATTAGCAGTTCTGTAGCTACTAGCTTGGCTGCACAAAACCCAGACATGCACTGAATGCATAATGCAGATCATCCCCATTCACACATATTTCTATATTCTATACAGCAATGGAAGTTTTTCCAGTCTGTTTTCTCAGTTACAAATGTCAAACTTGGAGATGGTTTTAGTATTGCATTCATATAGGATTCACATAGGATTTTATATTAAAAATGTTATTGCTTATACTTACCTGTAAAGATATTGATCCTGTCTCCTTGTTTTTACTGAGGAAACTAGAAATTGACAAGTTCAAATCAATGCTGCTGTTATCAGCAGTAGAACCCGTGCCTGAATCTGCATCATTTTCCTTCAGGTTCTCAGACTCCAGCTGCTGTAACGTTTCAGTACTGTCTTGGTTATCTATTTTGACCTTCTCATTATTTTCTTCAGTGCTGATACTAATACTGGGAACTGGAGTGAGTTCAGAGTCATCAGCCTGTTTGCTGGTAGTGTCTTGAAGCTTATTCTCCATTATTTTATCGGAAGGAACTTCCTGTTGCTCTTTGTCCATTCGGATATTGTTTTCCTGGATATTCTCAGCTCCGTGCTCTTCTGGATTCTGGTCCATCTCAGTCTGTTCATCCACCATTTTATGAGAAATATCCTCAGGCTTGTCCTGTATTGCCTTCTGGCCTACCTCATCTTCTCCAGAGTCTTTGCTCTCCATGTCCTCCATGCTACTTATTTTACAGATATTCTCATTTTCACTTTCTGCCAGCTTTTTCTCCACTTTGATCTCTTTGTCTTGGCTTTCTGATAGAGTTTCCTCACAGCTGATGATCTCAAGGACCTGCTTAGCCTGACTTTCCACTGGCTTATCCGACGTCTCAGGTATTTTATCCCCGCCGCTGATCTGTGTTTCAGCAGTACCACCTATCTCCTTAACGTTTTCAATTCCATGCTTTATGAGTCCCTTTTCTTCATCCGACACTTTATCCTCAGCACTAGGTACAGAGTCTGTAGTGATGTCTGTTATTGCCTCTTTCTGAGCTTCGTCTTCATCTTCCTTTTCCTCTGTGATATTTTCTGCAGTGACCTTTTCGTTTTCGCTCTCTATTCTGATTTCCTCTTCTTTTTCACCGGTTTCCTCAGAAACGGTTTCTCCAGTTTCTACACTGTCATCAACTCTACGAACTGCTTTCAGTTCATTTTCCTCTCTTTGTTCATTTCCTATGTCATTTTCTTTCTCCGTTTTTAAGTCGTGTTCATCCTTTGCTTCTGCTATTGTTACTGCATTAAGTTCTTTCCTTTCTTTCTGAGGTTCTGTATCTTCAGCTGTTTCTTCCAGACTTTCTGTATTCTTTTCAGCTGGCAATATTTTGCCTTCCTCAACTTCACCAGTTGGCACAGAACCATTCTGCACTTTGATATCACCATCACCAACATCAGGTATGCTTTCACCTGTTTTCCTAATTTTAATGTCCTGAGAGTCATCTTCAATTGTTTTACCATCTGGAAATACAGCGTTGCTTTTCTCCTCACTTGCATTACTTTCTGTTTTCTCAGAAAGTGATTCCAGAACAGAGGCATTCTGTGAGAGCTTATCCTCTTCAGAGCTGGCAATACTAAGGTCAGAAGATGCACGCTTGTCTGCAGGTAACTGCTGAAAAATTAAAGGAAGAAAAATATTTGATCACCTTCAAATTTACAGCACAGTTCTACTGAAGAATATCAGAAGAGATGAATACGTTATGTTCTCAGAAAACATTACATGAGTGCTACAGTTTGAGAGCACTTCATAAGGTGTTACCAGAGGACAAATGCCTGAACTGTAGCTGGGCTCTGAACAGAACATTTCCCAAAAACGCTCTCCCATGCCTCAGAATTTAATAAAATGTGCTGTGATTGAAGAAAAGGGATCACAGTCAGTCTACTGCCAGGCAGCAGACTTCACAGAATCCTCAGGAGTCTTTATGCAATCCCATCGCTCCTTATTTTATTACTTTATTTTCCCTGGTAGTCCCATCTACATCCAGATTTGAAAAACATGTCTTTGTGTCAGTTTGGTAGGAAGGACTAACACAGTTTTAATTAGCATAGAACTGATAAAATTTAATACTAAGAACCTCTTCACTTCACCAAATACATCGTCTCTCCTTTTGTTCTTTGATAAAACACTTTTTGTCTTTTAAATCACAGTAAAGCTCCATTAAAATGGTGAAAACTTCCAGCACAGCTGAGTAAGTAGTGTTACTGCACTGGAATAGAAACAGTTACATAACTGTAGAAATTGCTGTTGCTGAAATCTGAATGATTATCAGATTACATGCAGATGTAAAAAAGAATATACCAATGAAGAATCATTTGAACCATAATTGCTCTTCCACTGTTCAAAGCGATTACAGTACCTCTGGCTGTACTGACTGCTACAACCCTGTAATTTGCAGATCAGGCTTTTGATTTGCCAGCAGGAATACAGCAGGCTAGCTATTGTACCAAGCACGGCTATGATCACACACGTCCTACACCTGACAGCTTCCCTAAGCAGGAAGAAAACAACTTTTTAATGTAAAAGTGCGTGTAACAGACCCTTCTGTTTGTGCCATTCTAGAAGCTTAGTATTCTCCAAGCAGTTTTTAAAAGAAATGCAGTACAGTAAATGTATCTATTTCACAGCTCCCTAGGCTGGGACAGGAACCACTCTCAAGTAGTTCACAGCACCGAGGCACAATTGCTTAAGCTACTGTGCAACTGATTTGAGTTGCAGGGTGACCTTCACCCCCAACTCCATGGAGATGAATAGCTTAACTGCTAATCAGCTGATGGAAGTGGTGGGTGATGCTCCAGGGGACTGAGAATAAGTCCTGGAGAGAGCTGGTGAGAACACACTTCTGGAGGTTTGCTTGGGGTGGAAAGTGGTATGGAGGGCAGGGAACACAGTGGTTCAGTGAGGTATGAGGAGAGAACGGAGGTGTACTTCTTGTGCTGGTAACGGCAGCCACCAGCAGTACTGGTCACTGTCTGACAGTGACACCAGAATATCAGTGATACCAGAGAGGCACCACGTGACACTGCAGCCTGCCACCACAGAACTGAGCGGCGGGGCTTTGCGCTCCGACAAACTGAATCTGCTGTAGGACTCTTAAGCATCTTTAAAAATACACTCAGATACAATCTCCTCCAGCTAAAATTTGTTTCCTTGACTTTGGATTCTTTTTTTTTTTTGACAGTCACACTTGCTGTATAACACTTGCACACTTTCCTTCTTGGTTTAAGCATCACATGAAATATACAAACATGTTTTTTATTCATCTAGTCATGCACACTTAAACATTTTATACATAAACATTCTACACTGCATATACATGTAAAAATACGTGAAGGCAGCAGACTTCATTACTAGTTCTTCAAGAGCTTAAGAGCACAGTAATTTTGAAAGCACTGTTTTGTAATAAGGTTATCTTATTTTTATGCTGTAATGCTTAGATGACTTGAAGTGAAAGTTAGATAGAACATCAGAAAATTGAGAACTCCATAGAAAATTGGTGGTTGAAACTATTTGCATATTTAAACAACTAAATTTCAAACTGACCAGAGAATTGTCTGTTTCCTCTTCTTCATCCTCATCTTTACCATCTTCCACTTCTTCCGTAACTTCTGCCTTAGCTTCTGCAATCAATTCTCTTATCGGTTTATTGGAAGTAACGGTAACAAATGGATGCTTGTGGAAATGATAATAAAAAAAGAAAGCCCATCATTAAGTGCTAACCTCACTGCACACAATTTGAAAAACACATCTTAAAAGAAATAGCAGCTTCAGAGAAACATTACTGATTCTCTCAAACTTTAAACTCACAATTTTAACATTAATCATAACTGCTTTATTTCTTTCTGCTGAAGTTTTATATTCAGAACATTTGTAATCAAATAGACTGTAAGAAGTCTAACAGAAATGCTCAAAACACACATTATTCATTTCTACTAACCTTTTTCATAGTCCAAAGAATAAAAGTAGACAGATTTTTTAAAAGGTTATTTTTCCTGGAAATGGTTTTCATTTCTTTTCAGTTCCACAGTAAAACTATTTCCTGGGAAGTTTTATCCAGAAATATTCTTTTTAGAAAAAAATGCCTTTTTTCTTTGTAGTGTTTTTCCCTAACAGGAACACAGAATTCTGCATTTTTCTTTAAGGGAAAGCAGATACCCGCTCTTCTCCTACTCCTACCATCTTAATCTTCTTTCTCTGATTGGCCCTTCTGCTTAAGCCTATTCAACATGTCAGATGTGTTCCGGATAAGCTAAATGTGTGCTGACGTTAAACAGAATCAAATGCACCTGCTCACATCTACTTCTGTTTGGCTATTCTGCAGTGACAGCATTACAGGAGGCAGCCGAGCACTAAAGCTCTTACAACACCTGTCAGCAAATGACTACTTACGTAAGTATCAGCTCCACCCATTACAAGCATCAGTGTACAATTTAAATACTTATGCAAAATAATTAATTACAACTCATCAAAACACGTAAACAGAGAATTTGATCTGCACTTTGTATTATTTCATCAGGTTTTACTGAAAAAGATCTTCCAACAGCATTGAAATCATAGTATACAAACATCTCAAACACCCGAATATATTGAAATAGTTACTCTGCTTTTGAAAGAATATGAAATGTTTGTCTTCAAACAGCAGTTCTGAAGAATCAACTCCTCATACCTGTAGGAGTTGGGTTGCACTCCACCTCGAATCTACATTCTTTTCCAAACATTTCTTCAGAAAGTCTTTAAAATCTGATGACCTACAACAAAACAAACCAGCAGTGTCTTTTCTTTAGTCTTGACTAAGGAAATCAGTGATTCAGAATCAGATAATGAGATCAGTGCACAATGAAACATTTTTTTTTTACTTTCATGTGCATCTACACTACAACTTCAGGTCCTTCTATTGATTTAGAGAAAGAAAGACAGTATAGGGATGGAAGAACCAATGTGGCTCATGTCATCTTTAATACGTTCTTCTATTTATAGAAGAGTTTACTTTTGGCTCTGAATTTACAATACAACCCATCTGCTATACCATTAACTGAATCTCACAAGGATATCACAGTGATCAAGTAGATAACAGCTTTTTTTATGTCTTCTCGGTATAAAAATATTTAACTCTCTTGTTTCCCAATTTGAGATGGTCCTGAACTGCATTTGTAAAAGACTATTTTTCATATATTTTAATGCAAAACTGGCAAGTCCTCAAATTCTGTAATAGTTCAGTATTAAATCTTCTGTATAGAACTACAACAAAGTCACCATAGTCCCTGCTGTATCAGATTATAAACAAATGAAATACACAGAGTATATATAGAAAATGGCTTTATGCATAAAACCAGCACCATAAAGTTCAGCAGTGCTGTGCCTCTGAACAGAAGTGAAGTCACACATTGCCTTACAGTCATATTCTACAAACGAGGGTGGGAAATGAAATACAAACCATTTAGAAGGCTGTGCTAATGTAGGTGGATCAGATTTTGCTATTTTCAAGAGCACTCGCATTGGATTCAATTCATGGTGAGGTGGCTCTATTTGAGCCATTTCAATTAAAGTGATGCCAAGAGACCAAATGTCGGCCTTGTAATCGTAAGGCCTGTCCTTAGATGTCTCACACATGACTACTTCTGGAGCCATCCTGCAAACAGAGGAACGAAGCACCAGATTAGAAAATGCACTCTAATCTTATGGAAAAGGCTCTAAACAACCTGAATGCATTGCAGCATTTTTAAGAAGCAGATTCTGCTTTTAATACATTTATGCTCTCTCGAGCTTACAGCATTACAGCATTAACAACAAAGGCAACGTTAGGATATTGGTTCTAACATTCAGCAGAACAGCACGCTTACCAATACGGTGTACCGATGAAGGAATCTCTCCTTTGGATGGTTCTGGTGTTTTTAGCTGATACTCCGAAATCCGCTTAAAATGAATGAGAAAGTATTATTAACTTGGAGGTGGAGATACATGATAGTTTTAAATTTTACAGCTGTTTTTCAGATGCTTTGTGTTCCAAAGCAGGCGTTCTGCTGCACTGAAAATTCAAAGTTAAATAGAAGTATTTGCATTTTGACAACTGCCTACCCAGGCATTCAGGTTTCATAGTATTTCCAGTAAAAGATACCGAGTAAATCTTACTCTCTGTTGCTAAAAAAAAGTACTGCCAACATTGAGCTGTGTTTGGCAGGACAGAAGCAGGTATCTGCAACAAGAATAAGCAGGTTAAATTATTTTAATTAGAAAATGACTTTAGTGTAGGAAGGCTGTGTTGCTCAGATACAGCTTATTAACTCTCTCATTAATTCCAATAATCATTCAATGTTTGATTTTGTTATGTAAATTCTCCAGAAGTGAGGTTTTATGTTTCGCTTTTTCCTCTTTGCCATCTGTCTTTAAACCACTGTGTCTTTTATTAAAAAAAAAGAAAAAAGAAAAGAAAGAGATGACATTTAAATATAAACATTAGGCTTATTATAGATGTGACTTTCCTTAATGAAAATACACAGATTATAGGAAAGGAACAGAATAGCCATATGCTGCTGTCTTTAATCGGTACCAACTGACTCGATGGCTCAACACTTGAGAAGCCTAATTTTGCTCTATGAGGGGAAAAAAAAAAGGATTAAGAGAGCTATTTGTTCAAATGCAAAACCTGAAATACTGAGGGGACTATAGATGCTGAAATAATAAAGCACACATGCAACAGAAAAAGTCATTTCCCATTCCAGTATTTATAAAGCAAGGAATTATCCACTTCTGCCTGTACCTGAAACAAGAAGTACAGAAAACTTACAGGGGCTAAAATGTTTTTTCAAGGGAAGCTGTGCTTCAGAAAAGGAAAGTAAATTAGATTTGAAAAATGGTTAAAATGTTTTATATAAATCTTAACCAGCAAGCCTGAATCCATCACTAAATATATACATGGGGAAAACTCTGGTCTGAACTGTAAAGTAGTATCTTGACAGCCTGCACAGCGCTGTGTTACAGCCAAGTTTGACAAAAGCTTAAAATAGTTACAGTCCATATGAGGGAGAGCCAGCTTATAATTAAAATGAACAGAAATTCACGTCTCCCTCACCATGAGGCTTACTATGATTTTTGTCTTATACAGCAATACATAGAAATTAAGGGGGTGATTCTATTATATTTAAAAACCTGCTCCATGAGAATGAGTCCATGACTAAAATCTTCAGGCTTCTGAGATAAAGCAAAAGCATCAGCAACATTTGTAGATGAAGAGAAAGGCATGTGCTAAATATTAGAGCTACAAATAATAACCTTATGCAAGGAAATCGTTCAATACTATAGATACAAAGAATAACCTTTGCAAGGAAATCCATGCAGAAACACAGCTACATGAACCAATAATCTAGCCAGGCAGGTTCTTAATTAGCTGTCATCTTAAAAGCTTATATCCATCGGCTGTAAGGAGCCCTGAACCTAACAGATCCAGACAACTCCTATCTTTTTTCTACTGGAAAAACTGAGATAGTTAAATTTATTCTCTTGGTATAAATAAAAAGAACAGAAAAGAGTTCCAGGTATCCCTTTTCAGTCGTTGCAAAGAATGTTCATTTTTAAAACTAAAAACTATAAAAAAGAAGTTACCACAATAAGGTAAATTAACATATAATTAATCATGCCACGTTCTAGGAAAGCGTTATATGTAACATGCTTACCTAGTTTAATGTCTCCATCCAATGTGAAAAGAATATTGCCAGCTTTTAGATCTCTGTGGATGATCTTATTTTCATGCAAGTAGTTCAACGCTTCCAGTGTCTGCCTGCACACCACTTTGATCTGCGGCTCTGTTAATGGCCTTTCAAGCTCTGAAAAAGAAGGAGGCAGAAATAAACACACAATTTTTGCGTTTTTATGTTATTTGTTTATAGCAACCACCGTATATGTCCAAAAAAATGAATCAGTCTGACAGATGCTGAACACCATATCGCTCCGTTTGGTGTAACAGCAACATTCCCAATTATTCCAGTGAAACAAAAATTTCATCTCTTCATCATCCCCTCCTCCTGATGAACTCTGTACATCTGTACACCTACCTATCTGAACTGTGAAAAAACCAGAGTACAGACATTGGGTGCCTGTTCTGTAATACACATAAACGTTAAACAGATCCCTCACTGGTATCAGCATGCACTAATTGGAGGAGTAAGCACACAGAACTTAACTAAGATTGATGCACAATAAAAACTTATCACCAAGTAAATTGGAGGATGGCTGGAGAAGGGGATCCTGAAAAAGGATCAGTATAGATCATGTTAAAACAAAAGGAGAGCTCCATGATATGCAAACAGCTCATCACATTCACTTTAAGGATCGAGACATTAAAGTGGGTTTTGAGAAATAAGCAAACACTTTAAAAATGAGAGAAAATTAATCTAACCACAGAATTCATCCACAGATGCTGTTGTAAATACACTTGTAAGGATCCCAACATTCAACACGTGTACCACACCTATTACATACACATTTGTCAACAATCTGTGCTTAAACATATTTCAATATTATCATTTTAAAGATGTTATGAAATTAAATATTTGAAACAACTTATTTACCCAACATTACTGCATCTACTGCTCCACCTGCACAAAATTCGATCAGGATCTGTATACAAACAAAAGAATACATCAATTACAAATTAAGTCGTTCTGCTGAGCTGAAGCGTTGATTAAGGGAGCATTACTGGGAGACTACAGCTTCAGACTATTTGAGAATCTGTGCACTAACCACTACAAGGTATTGATACTATTAACAAGCTAACAGTAGGGCTGCGAAGCTGAAGTAAATTATTTGAAAGACGCTTGGAGATCCTCAGAATGTTAATCCAAAGTTAAAATTCCACAATAAAAACTATTAAGGTCAGCTTGAATCCTAGTAGTAACGTGATTTACATAATCTCTGCAAACTCATTTCTCAGTTATTGTACTGCACTTTCATAATCTCCCATTGAATGGTCCAAGTAGAAGAGCGACATGATTTTTCAGCAGATGTTATCCCCGTGTTAATTTGCTTCAGGTGAGATGAAAACCTGGACAAATAATCTTTAAAATGATGGAAAATGAATAATTTCAATTTTCCTCCATTTTCATTATTCTCTATAACACATCAGTGCTTTTATCCCAGAACCTAACAATACCACAGCAACTCAATCTCCAGTTCTAAGCTTATGTGTGAAACAGAAATCAACTGCACTGTCACTGCTTGGGGGCACAAACTCTGCTAACATGTAGAACATGAAAGAACAAAGGAGAAAAAGGGCAGACAGAGTGAATGAGAAGAGCAGGGACATGAGAAGAGGTCAATCAAGAGTGCCACTCCAATCTTCATTGTGTTTTTCTTCCTTAATTTGAACTCTGAACATTGAACTGTAGTTTTCAGTCTGACAGCTGAAGAGCATTTTGGTCAGAAATCTAACGAACCGCTGGGAAGTCTTTTTTAGAGTCAGAGCATAACTGCTCAGAGAGTAAGAAACTTCAGATTACAGCTTGCACAATAACACTCTTTTACCACCATGTGACGTCTTACTTGAAATTACTGTTGTAATTGATATGATACTAACATATGCATTATGCAATGTAACTCTCTGAATTCTTCAAACCATTCTCTCACTTGATGCTTCTGAATACCTACTGCCAAGTAACTGAAGCGTAGGAAATGCTACATGAAAAATTCTCTGTACAATTTTAAGTTTCATCTGACAATCTGACAAAGGTCCCTTTGGTACAGAAATGGTGTTTCTAAAGCTGGAATGCAAAACCACACTCTTCATGTTCAAATCTCTTTCATTTTCTCTTTTCCCTCTCCATTAAGTTCCATTTATGAACCACATCAGAGCGGTGAGCAAACCACTCCGAGCCTTCTCTCTCACTTTCACAGCTCTCTATCTTCTTTGTGATTACAGAGGTATCATTTCATTTTACAGCTGTTCATTTCCCTTCTAACTTTAATCTGCCAGCAAACCTATTTTAACTCAGTTTCCCATTCTGCTTCTAAGCACAGTTGCATTCATGCTCACCTCTCTGCACTGAAATTTGTTCATAATTCCAATTATTCTATTCCATTATTCCATGTATTATACAGTGTCATTCTACTCTACATTTGGGTTACACAAACTCTTCACAGAGTTCATCAGAATTATCAGGAAACGTGGTACTACAATTCAGTTGTTTCCACGCATAAAAGAAAAGCGTAATTAAAAGAAAATTTCCGTGGAGTCTCACATTTCTTTCAGGGTATCTTTCTGGATTACAAACTCCTTTTAAGGAGACACGTATTCTTAGTATAATCCCCAAAGCACTTAAAATATTGCATCGAACCATTCAGAAGAATAAAATTATTTTAATAGCTCAAGTGAGTCCATGCAGAGGACACAGCACAAACTGAGGTGCAGTCACACGTACACCCACTGCACTGCATCTGCAAATATCAGTCAAATAATAACTGCTGAAGTCATGGTGAACTCTCCTTGCTGGAAGCACCAACAAAACCACTTATATGCATCTAAAATACTTACTTCCCAAGCTGACCTTTTCAGCCTATTATTTATTTCACAGCTGCAAATTCTGAGTCTCAATCTGAACTGTGCAAATGTAATTAACATTTGAATCCTGCTGTAACAAATGAGCACCAAGAACTCTCCCCATACACCAAAATGAGCTGCTCATTTCTGAGTTCTGGATTCAAACTGCTACCTCTGGGTGGGTCATTTTACAGTGACAGTTTCCTAAAAGTCATACTTACAATTTATGAATTAGTTTTGAAACTGTACAGTTACCTGAATAGGGACAGCCAGAAGAAATATGATTGACAAGTAGCATTTCAAGAAAATCAGGAGAATGCATAATGTCAACGTTCTTATGAAACAAATGCAAGTATTTAGAGAAGAAAAATACCTACCCACAGATTGTTTTCATAGTAGAAGGCATCTAGGAGCTTAACAATGTTAGGATGGTCACAGGATGCCAAAATATCAATCTCTACCATGTAATCTTCAAGTTCTTCTTCCGATTTTGTGTCAATCACCTTTGCAGCAGCCAGCACTTTTGTTTCTTTGTTCTGAGCCTGTTAAAAAAAGTCACAACAAATATTCAGATATGGATTTCAGCAGACAGTTGTCACTAACAAAAAAACCAAACCAAAACAAAACTCATCCCTCTTGATAAGTCTGTGCTGTGTTTCTACCTTTAGTTTGCCTTTTCCACAAAAGAGAATAGCTTTACTGTAAAGACTAGATAAACGCCAGCAGAAAAATTTCTCTCAAGGTTGAGACTCAATGTAAGACAGACACATGGCAATACTCAGTTCCAGCTGCATTCTTGAAGCCACAAAGCAGTCAGTAGCTGAGGGCCATTGCTGTTTGTATGCCTTGGATGAAGTTCTGCATTACTCCTCAAATAACCATTTGCCAGCGGTTGGCAAGGAGTATCAGGCAGCTCCACCTCCCCTTCTGACACTGCCCACATTATGGCAGCACAGCTGTCTGTAAAGCCACACAAAAACCATCTTCTACCAGAACACAGGAGGTTATGCTCTTCTCAAGCCAGGGGCTGTGTTCAAGCTCCAGTGTTAAAATGTTGCTGAGCAGTTATCAGTTTGCTGGGACACCTCACTGTGACTGCTTCACAATGAGCACCACGTAGATGTGTGTCACACAGGCACACAGTTACACACTTAATGATCCTCTTGCAAGTTCTTTGAAGGAATAACTTGGAATTCCTTTAAAGAAGATTGGCACACTTCTAGCCATGAAGAGTTCTCCCAACAGAACAAAACGGAAGATCTAAACCAGATGTTTATGAAAGTTTTCTATAAAACAGCCATAACAGCAAAAACAATGGCAAGATGAATCTGCTAGGACTCACCTTACACTACTCAGAACTTTTCCTACACACAGTCTACTAATATGAAGGGGAAAAACAAGTCTGCTTCATAGCAGGAATGAAAGACCAACCTTCCATCTCAAAGCTCCATTACAGATGAAACCCAGAAGCTTTCCAGATGTCTCACATCACAACAGTTAGACCCAGTGGGTTCATGTGCCCAGAAAACAAGTTGTGAAAGTGCCTTCTAAAACAGTAAAATCTCAATTATACACTTATTTTTTGGAACTAAGTATGGCAATGCACTCTCTGCAGGACTGTGTAATTTATTAGGAAGATACTTCACAAAAACACGAGAAGACCATAGCATTCATTTTCACACAAAGTTGCACATGAACTGTACCACAATGGTCTTTTTTAAAATGGAACAACGTTTCCACTTCCACACTAAGAGATACTGCTGCTTCCAGATTCTATTTCACCTCTGATGGAAAGGAAGAAGCACCAACACATTATGATACACACTTCCACTCTACGGGGCTGCCTGCATTTGTAGAACATGCTGCCTTTTTTTCCCTGGTCAGATTTCTGCACTACTTTGATTTCCCCCAGATTCTTTTGCTTGAAGTCGACAGAAATCTGCTTTGCATGAAATTTCTATTTCCTCCTTGTAGCTCTATTAAAACATCTCATTAAAAAACAGAAGCGATGATAGAGACTGGAGGATTATCTTTATGAGCATCTTGATTATAATCAAAACCAACGTATGCTCTCAATCTGACTTCCAGTAGTAACAGAAGTAATTGTATGCCTAGATCCAGACCTTTTTTTCCTCCTAAAAAGAAATGAGCTTTAAGATCAGCGTATTTCTACCGAATTTCTGAGGGCAGACAAAACATTTCAAGCGTACATCAAGTTACACCTGAAAATAAAGAACATCTCAATGTTTTGTGATTTTAAAGGCTCATTTTGAGTAGGATGTTATCAGTTTCCATCATACATTGCACACACCACTCTGCAGTAAGCATCAATTCTTGTGAATGGCTGTAAGAAGTCTATAAGAAACATTGTGCATTTGGACTGAGAAATAAATCCAAACCTGCGTGAGTGAGCAGTATTAATTGTTCAAACATCTCTAAAAAACATGGAAAGGTGTTCTCTCAATGAAAGATTTCCCTCTAAAACTCATTAGGGAAACAAGAGAAAGCCTCTATTCTAGCGGCCTCGTTTAGCATTGCATTTCCTGGGGTAACAGCCCATGAGACAAAGAGGAACAAAGGGCACTCAGAGCCTTGTGGGGCACGTTGGTTTCTTCTAGGCTTTGACTGAAGCTTTTCTTCTGTCACACAACAGTCCCCAAAGGTCAGAGAGGGAGTGAAACTGTTAGTGGAGCTGCAACCTTGATTTGCATTTACTTGATTCGCATTTGGGCACATTTACATCTTAAATCAAAGAATCATTAATGCTTCCCAGAGGTTGTGCACATTCAAAATAAGTTCTTTTGACTCCACTTCCATAACAGTGGATTTAAGCCTCAGTCCTATGCTGAGACGTCTGAACTGCTGTCTTTTATGACTATGGTTCAGTCCTGCCTCATGTGGAAACAGGGAAGGAAGGGAGACAGAGACTGTCTGTCTTTGCACTAAGAAAATTTTCTCTCAAATGATACATAGACATGGTTGAAAGCTGAACTGAAATAACAGTCCTTCAAAATCTGACTGTCACATCATGACAATGACAATATTGACTGTTACGTATGGCAACATACAAATATTGTAATCCTTCCACCCAAGCCTCTATTTGGATTAAATATTTAATGCTATTGCAGCAAATGTTAGCTTACAGAGAGACAGTATGCACAGGGGAATAGCAAACTGTATGTGACACCATTACAATGCAAGGGGCAGCCTTGCTGGCAGAGAACACAAAAATCTCTTTCTTCTCCAAACTCTGTTTTGAGAAAGACAGCGGGGTTGCACAGAATAAATACTACTTTGTAAATCAGAACTTGCAAATCGCTTCTCTGTACCTACATCCCTTGCTCTAAAATGGAAATGACATCTACTGTACAGTAACACTGGAAGCAGTTGGAAACATATCAGTACCAGAGAAAGGAACAACCACTTCTCGTGAACTGGCATCCATGAGTGCACGAAGCTGGTGACCCCTCCTTCCTCCTCCTGGATTTTTGTACAGTGTCACATATCCAAACAAGTTCCAGATCCAGAAGCTTTGTGAAGACACTGATAGCAAAACATTAAGAGATGGGTTTACTGTCCGGGCACCCAGCCAAGCAGTTACATATTCCCAGCCACGGACAACAGGGAGAGCAGAGCCCCTGTTGCACACTAACAGGATTACAGCTCAGAGATAACCATCTTTCATCTTCGTGTGACCCCCATGAAGTTTTGGCCCTGGTTGTGAGGACCGGTTTCAGTTTCCTACCACCAGCAAATGCTGCCTACCCAACAGCACAGCCTCCTGCCTGTGATGCAGCACGTAGGCACCTCAACATTAAACCTTTGTTTACAGCTGAGAGAAGCACGTCCTTTACCTGCTGCCCGGTCAGCTGGAGTCACTGCTGAGATGAGAGATAAAACATTATTTGTCACTTTTCTTCCCTAAGCCTGATCTCCTCTGAGATGTTACATAACCACACGGAACGTGTTGCAAGCAGCGAGACCAACCAGATGAGAAGTTCTTCCTCTGACTCATTCTTTGCAACAAAACTACGGTCACACTCACAGCACCTCAGACTTGCCAGGAAGTGGAAAACACACATCCCTATCCTGCAGAAAGTGGTTTCAGTGTAAAATGCTACACTTCTGCATAACACCCAGCTCCCTGCATGCATCCTGATGGTGTCTGATCTGAGCAATCAGAACTGAAAACCATCCCTGTGAGACAAAGCAGGAGCTGATTGTTACAGCTGGCAGAAGGCAGCGGATCTCAGTCTTCCCTGACCACACCAATCAAGGAGAAACAGCTGCCATGATTGCAGATTATAACAGTCTGATCAAAGAAATGTGTATGCAGCAGCTGGGCCTACTGGAGAAACTACTCTGGGCTCTTTTGTGTAAGTTCCCTACATCTTAGCTAATAATGCTCTGTGCTTTTTGATATTAAAAACCAGCATTACTGATCAGCATTAATTGTTCAATATCTTTTAAACATGAAAAGGCATTCTTGGTTAACAAAAGTTGATTTTTCTCTAAAATGCATTCATCAAATAAAAGGAAGGCTTAATTCTAACAGCAAATTTTGAGATACACAATTAAAAGCATCAATTCAAATTTAATAGCAAACCTAGCTAGCTGTGCAATATTAAACCACTGCTTTTAAAATAAATCAGAAGTTACACCGAGGGAAGAGATGGCAGCTTCTGAAAATGAAGGAAGATGAGACAATGCAAAGAAGTGACATTATTTTGCATCTGTTTCACTGAACAACATTTGAGTATCTCACACAAAGAAATAAAATGAAAATCCAAGGTCCGTAGTTTCAACAGACACGTTTGCACTGAGGAACTCAAGGGCAGCCAAGCTGTATCTGCTCCAACACAGAGGTGATGCTTCCAGAGCTGCTGAGCAGCTAACAAAGGGCAGCATCCACCAAGGAAGGTGATGTGCCCTTGAACTGTGGCCAGTGAGAGAAATGACACTGCCTGCTACCTACTACACCATTTACTTACCTAAACGCTTAATGCCAGGGGAAACGTACTGCAATAGCAGCACAGATAGGTGTCCCTCCTTGCAGCAGGTACTGCTAACAGCGCCATGCCCAGCACTCAGTGCGTCCTCATGGCTCTGTGGGGTGGTGCTGCCTACACTGTTTTTGGAGCTGTTTCCATGACAACTTATTATTTTAACATTATCCTTGTACTTCGTATTTATTGTGGTTCTTCTGCTTCCCCCACTGTTGGTTTCTGAGGATTCCAGAAGTTATTTCTGTGCGTGGTATGCGATATAATTTTTATGTTTAACCTCATGGTTTCCCCTATGTATTTTCATTAACTCTGTGGCATTTCACATACGAGCTAAGCAGAGTTGCATCCTGGTCCACGTGTCGTTTCCCTGAAAGCGGACGGATGTTTCTAAGTGTATCTGTGAGACAACCAGGGCTGAACTGAGAAAGAGGTGCAAAATAGCAGAAATGGTTCTTTACAGACAGCTTCACAGTGGCAGCGATATCTGATTATAGAAGCACTCCTTTTATTTAATCACACCCATGTAAGAAAATGAA